TTCGGGTATTTTTTGGTTCTTAGGTCATCAGATTCGAACCGATCCGGAACCAAGAGGAACCGAACCGGAACCGAACTGAATCAATTTTGGTACCATTTTGGATCCTGATTGTCAAGAACCGAAATACCCAGAACCGATTGGATCCGATCCGGAACCGATCCGAATACCCAAAAGCCCAGGCTGACCTAAGACCATTTGTAATGGAGGTTTTAAAGGGGTTCAAGGCTGGGGTTCATGGATTTCTGACAATAAAAATAAATGAATAAAACTCATTTTTCTTAAAGACAGGTCTTAAATTAGAGCTTTTAGAGTTGATTTTAAGAGAGGTTCACGAGTGAGGTGGTATAATATGATTGGTTGGGCTTTGGTAAAAACTTTTTTCTCTACTTTCTCTCTTTTTTTCTCTCTTCTTTTACTCTCTTTTTCGACTTTTTCTCTTTTTCTACTTTCTCTTTCTTCTTAAAATTTGTATTAATAAAAAATTTGACATGAACCTCTGATGGAGTTCACCATTACTCATGCCCTAAAACCATGTACATCAAAGGTTCATAAGAATTTAATATTATAATTTTTGGATTTAAAAAAAGTGAAGAAATTGTGCTCATTTTGGGGTTCACCAAGAATAAATTTTTTTTTTTTAAATTCGAAATTATTTTATTTTACTAATAAATTTAAACACATATTTATTATAAAAAAAAATACAATTCATTATATGAAATTAAAATTAAAAACATACAACATATAGATTTTAGAAATTGTAAAACCTTTAGTTCTACTATTGAGAAGTACCAAATTTATTCCAAATATTCTCTATTAAATCTGCTTTCAATCGTTCGTGTATCCGTCTATCACAGACTTGATTTCGAACCTCCATTATATTTCTGATATTTGTAGGAATATCTGTATAATACGTTATATCGACTTGCGAATTTCTGCTTCCTTCTCCTTATTCGAAATCTGATATATCATACTGAGTGTAGCTATTTTGTTCGTTTTCTACTATCATATTGTGCAATATGATAGATGCTCACATAATCTTGTCAATTTTTTTTATCCAAAAAAATAGCTGGATTTTTGATAATTGCAAATTGAGATTGCGGAACTCCAAAAGCATGCTCGACATCTTTTCGGACGGATTCTTGACATGTAGCAAATAATGTTGCTTTGGAACTTTGAGGAAGTTGAATAGATTGTATAAAAGTTGCTCATTTGGGATAAATACCGTCTGTGAGGTAGTACGGCAAACGATACTCGTTACCGTTGACCCAGTATCTCACTTTTGGAGCTCGACCTTGTAATAAGTCATCAAAAACTGGTGAACGATCAAGAACATTAATATCATTTAATGTACCTGGAGGTCCAAAAAACGCATGCTATATCTAAAAATCTTGTGATGCTACTGCCTCTAAGACGATTGTCGGTTTTCCAGAACCACGTGAATATTGCCCTTTCCAAGCGGTAAGACAATTCGTCCACTCCCAATACATACAATCGATGCTTCCTATCATACCGGGAAATCCCCGTATCTCTCTAATATCGAGTAGTCGTTGAAGATCTTCTGGTGTGGGTCTTCTGAGGTACTCATCTCCGAGCAAGTGTATTATGCCTTCAGTGAAATTTTCCAAGCATAACAGTGTCGTACTTGCACCGAGCCGGAGATATTCATCAACCGCGTCAGCCGCTGAACCATATGCCATCATACGAATTGCAGTTGTACACTTTTGTAGTCCGGATAGACCAAACCTTCTGGCAGAATTTCTTCTTTGTTCAAAATATGGAACTTCATTGGAGAGGCGGTCAACAATACGCATGAACAAGTCCTTGTTCATTCTAAAACGGCATAAAAATAGATTTGGCGGGTGGTTGCATCATCACTGAAGTATTTGTTCTATAACCGGTTGTGGCCTTGTTCCCGCTCTCTTTCAATGTATGCTCATTTCTTCTTCTTTTTTTCTGCATGCCGATTAAGAACTGCATCGAACATAGTATCAAATTTTTGAACGAAACTTTCATCAAATTAATCATCAAATGATTCAGCCAATCCATCACTTGAAGATACTGCCATAATGTTTGTGTAAACAGATAAAGAGTTTGGTATAAAGTGATATTATTAGGATTTGATAAAGGGATTATGATTTTAGAAATGAGGAAACTAGTGGAGATAGATACTTGGTTTATAAAACAAGATGTGGTATTCGATATTGGGAAACAAAATGTGGTAGAATGAACTTAAGAAATTATGAATGGAGATACAAATGTTTGATCATTTCACACAACACATTTATACACCGCTGAAACTAAAAATATGTGGCTTACAAACACGTTAGAGAACATATGGTATACATTACACTAGAAAAAATTTGTGGTTTACTAGACTATAAAGCAAAAAAAATAGACCCTTCATTTTGTTTGCATCTGATCACAGACTTGTCTGCCAAATTTTAGTGGCCAAGTGCATCTGATCACGCACTTACTGCAAAAACATAAAGAAACATCACTAAATGACAATGACAAAATCAGACTATAAATCATAGACATTAAAAGGAACAAGTAAGAGAACCTGGACATATGGTGTTTTATCTTGCAAAATTACTATATTGCATTCTTGAAAATGGACTCAACATTAAGCAATCTACTAAAAACAAAAGAAAAACACAAAGTTAATACATTAAGCTACTAAGTCATCATCAAACAAAAGAAAAACACAAAGTTGACTACATAACACATCACAACAACATATCACTAATTAACTTGTTTTTAAGTGCCATTTCATTCTCAGAAAGTAGCTCAGTCTTAGCTAAAAGGCTCTCAAGAATCCTTTTGTTAGTAATCTTTTCTTTCATTTCTAAATCTTTTTGTTTGATTTCCCACATACTTTGCAACTCCTTCAGCTCCATTCCTTCGGCTTTCACTCCGGCTGACCTTTTAGCATTCGCCTTCGAAGCCTTCACACCAGGCGGCCGAGCCTCTAACACATCATCGGCTACGCTTGCAGGAATCGAGCTTGAGGACTGAGCCGAGTCTACAACCTTCCTTTTTTAGCCTTTTCACCATCCTTCACAGAAGACCTCGAGCACCATTTTTGGTCATGCCTGAGCTCTCTCCAGTCATGCTCGAGGCCGAACTTGATGAGATAGTTATTGAAGAAGATGTCATGGGCTGCCTTCATTATGTCGTTTCCATTCTGACCGCTTCTCTTCTCCTTCTGTGCAGCCTTGTACAAACCCACGAATTTTGCAGACCTGGTCATTGATCTTTCCCCAGCGTTGCTTACACTGAGAGGCTTCTCTTCTTGGTAGTCCTTCTATTTGAGGGCTTGCGTTGTAATATGCCTGAATCCGCTTCTAAAAGGCATCAGCTCTTTGTTCATTGCCGACTATAGGGTCATTGCTTGTATTGAGCCATGCACTTATCAACACCAAATCTTCCTTCGGAGTCCACTGCCTTCTCACTTTACGGTCATCACTTGGATCATCAGATCCTTGTGTACTAAACATAGGAATGTCTGATGATCCTAGTTCTATACATGGCAAGTAACTGTCATTAACTAGCTGACTAGTTAATAGATTGACAAAGCCTTCAGACTGAGTAAATGAGTTATGAGAATCCATAGGAAGTAGTAGTGTTTTGTGGTTGGTTATGTTTCAGATTGAAAGAATTATAGAGACGGAAAACATGGAAGAAAGTAGAAGAAGATAGTTAAAGAGGATGAAATGAGTGGAATAAAGTAGAACAAGATAGTTAAAAATGATGAAACGAGTTGAATAAAGTATAAGAAGCTAGTTAAAAACAATGGAACGAGTGGAAGAAAGTAGAAGAAGCTAGTTAAAGACGATAGAACAAGTGGAAGGAAGTAGAAGAAGATAGTTAAAGAACAAGTGTTTGGAAGGAGACGGTTGAGTGTAGTTAAAGAAGAAGATGTTTTTTAAGAAGAATATGGTTGAGTGTCTTTTAAGAAGAGTATGGTTGTTTTAGTGTTTTCGAATTAGTGGATGAGTGATTTAGTATTTTACTTTAGTGTTTTTTAAGATGAATATGGTTGATTGTTTTTAAGTGTTTTAATAATAACACCTAACTAGCAGTTATCACACCACCTAATCCTAACAATTCATATCAAGCATTGATCAAATGTCATAAACCTAACAAAAGCAACCTAGATATTTACCACAAGCATTTAACACAAAGAATTTCTAACTGTTTACTAACATTTTCCTGCTAACTCTAAACCCTAACCGAAAAGTTTCAAGAGGACGGATCTGTAATCGTTGAGACATAACTACTCGGTGGAGCTTTCAGAAGCATGTATCCGTAGTTCCACCATATTACCTCACAAAAAAAAGAATGAAAACGGATCATTAAAACTACTAATACTATGACCGTATATAATATAACTTAGACGGTAGATAATAGCATCAAATGAAATAGAAATTTCCACAACCATAAGTACCATCCATTGCATAACTTAGACGGTAGATAATATTACAAGACTTGAAATCATGAGCTTAAAAAAGAGTACTAAAATTGTACTTATGTCTTACTACATAACTTCAAAATGGATGCAACCCATTTCTAATACTTTAACGCATATGCAATGGCTGCAATAACACAAATAAAAATCAACATCGTAAAACCGTCACTTTGGTTAGCAATGTGGTCCTTCAATCTTGTAACTTCACCTTGAAGCCGTGTTAGCTCTTCACAAACTTCTCCTATGGTTGGATTAGATGTGTTATTTCTATGCCGGTCAACACTGAGGATCAGCTCCTTCTGCTCTTTAAGCTTTAACTCGAGGATGGAGAACTGCTCGGTTACCGCATCATCCCACCACTGCCACATGTGCTCACCATTGGCCTACAAACATTAAACAGTTTCAGCAAGCTGTTTATAAACATAGCTAAACCAAACAAACAAAGGAAGACATAATAAAGAAAGAGAACTAACCTCTTTGAACCTATCAGGACAAGCATTATACTTGCGATCAGCTGTGTTTGATTCAAGCTTCATATTACGACCACAGAAGCTTCAGGTATTCCATAAGTAGCATCCGAATATGCCCAGCCCATGTCTATCTCTAGACCTTCAGATGATGTATCACTGTAGCTTATAGGCATTCTCTGTACAAAAAAAAAATTCATCAAACTAAGCCAACCAAAACATTGATCATTAAAATGCCAACATAAACAATCTAAGCAATGACGCTTATAGCAACATAAAATACATAAACAATCTAAGCAACATAAACAATCATTCATACATCTTAGCATACGCTAAGACATTATCACTACCGATCATGGATATAGCAAAGAGAAATCATATCATCTCCGATAATGGTTATGACAAGATAAATCATATCATAATCTCTGTCATATCAGACAGGAAAGACAACATAATAATCAATAGAATTAATTACATAAACATACCGAGTAATACATCATCAACAACCTAAACACGTAATCATCTTCGATAATGAATTTTAACATACGGTTGTAAATGAATGTAATAAACCTCAATTTCAACCCCACAAAAAACCCCCAAATTTTCCCCCAAATTGGAAAACCCTAATTTGATCGAACAAATTTCCACTCATAAATTCGAACAACTGAACTCGTATTCAATATAGGGTAACAACAAACAGACAGATACTTCTAATCGATCGTATATCTCTAATTAAAACACCAGGAAAGAACCCTCAAATTTTTCCCCAAATTCGAAAACCCTAATTTCCCCTAAAACTTTACAAGTTTACCAAATTAGAAAGGCAGAAGGCTTACCTTGATGATTGGAATGGATACTCGATGCTCGGATTAGAACTCCACCGGTAAATTTCACGGAAGCTCCGATCGATTTAATATTGTCATGGAAGAGAAAGAGAGAAGAGAGTCGGGATGAGATGAAAATGCCCAAGGAAAAAAAAAATTTGTCCCACAAAATTAACACACGATTTTCAGCCAATCACACGCTTCCACGTGGTGAAGAGCCGGTCTCTTTAGGCTCTTCGGGAAGAGCCGGTTCGTCGAAAATGAGCTTTTTTCCTTTTAAAAGAAAAATCATTTTTGCCTATGAAACTAGGCCATAAACCCCATCTAAACCTCTGATGGACATGCTCTAAGAAACTCTGATGGAGATGCTCTTAGGTCCACTAACGATTCATCAAGTTATATAAAAAAAATTTTTTGGATCATTAGGAGGTTCTGGGCCAAATCCCGTAATCACCACAAGCCCAAAACCACAACATGTAATATTAGTTTCGTCACCACAGCATATAAAATTAGTTTTGTCCCAAAAGTCACTTGAACCAACGACTTTTAGGCTTTGCCTGAGATCTTTACCAATTGAGCTATTGGCTCTTGGTCAAGCAATCAAAAATTATCAATAGCAAAAGATATTTCCAAAAAGAGACATCAGAATATGAAGTATAGAATGTTTCTCTCTAATGATTGAGGGAATTCTATTTTGCCTATAGTCTTTACATTTTAGCATTATTAGTTAAAAGCATTAAATCTTATATAAAAAATATCACAAACAGCATTACATAAGTAAGAGAGAAATCTTTGAAAAGTTGTCCAAACTCTAGCAAAATCCTCCAAGTATTCTACATCTGGGAAAGTTATAACCTTGCATTGATCAGACTCTGTGCCAGTAACGTAGAAATCATGGGAAACAAGAGCGTCTTTATAGTCAGAGGTCGAGCTGAGCCAATGCAGGTTTCTACTCAAGCTAAAAAGATTGAGTTTTAAAAACTCCACAAAAATGGAGAGCTTAAAATTTGATAAAATAAATAAGATAATAATTTTTTAAAACATATATATATATATATGGTTCTAATAATATCATAATAATAATTATTTATACTTATGCATATATAATTAATATATTTCAGTAAAACATATATATTGGTAGAAGCCGAAGCTAAAGCATTTCTTATTGCTATGAAACAATTTTGGAGTATGGGTATACAAAGGTATACTTCGAAGGAGATTACAAATGCTTATAGACATTTCGATATTGAAAATGTGGGCTCGAACATTTACCATTAGAAGAAGAAATGAACGAAATGGATTTTTTTTTTTTCTTTTTTAACGAAATGTAATTTTCAATATACATGCAAAGAGAACAAACAATTCCGGTGGATTCTTTAGCAAAGCCTGGGCCTCCAAATTTTTTTTAATCTAAATTGTATCCACCATGGTGGTTAGTGAATTCCGTTTTTACGGATTGTATAAATTAATTCTTTCAGATATATAATAAAATGTTACTTTGACGGGAAAAAACAGACTTTTAAGCCAACTACAAATAATGAAGCAAATTACCAATACCTAAAAACCACAACCACTTTCCCCCACTCTTAATTGGACCAAAATACTCAAAACAAACCAAACACCATCATTCGTTAAAAAAGCAAAAAAAAAAAAACAAACAAACAAACAAACAAACACTCTCCTATAATTAATTAAGGAAAAACAATCAGAAGAAAGTCAAGTCAATCCTCTCACAATGCTCAGGACGGCGAGGAAGGAATTCGATACAGCCAGCCAGGGAGAGCAAACGTGAACATATAAATTTCTTCCTTCAGGACCGAACTTGCCTTATTAATACTCAGAGTGAGACCTTCGATGGTACGTTCCAAGTTTTTATGAAGACCAAACTTTCCTTCGTTGTACAAGTTAGTAGATACCAAACCTCTTTTATGGTCTTTTCTCTGCAGGTACAGCGTTTCACCATCAAAAGGGTTCATCGCCAGCGGAAAAATGTTATCGAAATAACAAGCGGAAGATATTTGAGATACGTGTTCCCATTCCCCACTCTTTAGCCTCCATACTTTTAGCTTATCCTCTTTGTTTTTTTCTGAAAATGTTCATATGCATGAGATATCCTTGAGAAGTTGTCCACATTCTTTTGAAGTTCTTCGAATGTTCTTCATCAGGGTTAATTATAACCATGCATCGATCAGACTCCGTTCCAGTAGCGTAGAAATCATGGGATACAACAGCGACTTTATAGTCTGAGGTCAAGCCATACCAGTGTAGGTTTCCGCTCAAGCTAACAGGATGGAACCAATCAACATAGCACAAAGGGCCATAAGAATTAAGAGTTTTAAAACTCCACAAGCATGTCTCAGATGAATATATCAGTAACCTTAAGAAACCTCCTTCAGATTTACTTCTATCCATTAGGACAACTTTGTAACGTAAAAGGTCACCATTTTCAATCCATGTGACGAGTCCAGAAGGTCTGGAAAATCTAGCTCTCAAGTGAAAAGGGCCACGAGGCACAGGAGGGATTTTGACATATTGCCGTGAAATCGGATTAGCCACGTAGTAGGAGGCTTGATCATCACCGGATACAGATTTTGAACTGATCAGAATAAATCCAACGTCGGTGTAAGCCAAGACTTTAACATTTTGTGTTTCCTTCGTAGTCATGCCGTTTATGAAAGAGGAAACGTAAGAGTCAAGGGATCTTGGAAGCCCCCAAACCTTGCATCCGTAATGAGCCATGACTTCTTTAGGTTTGTTTCTGAACCCCGCTTTGTCTGGCCACATGACCGACCACGAAGAGTGCGAGTTCTGATGGTGAGAGAAGAAAAGCTCGCGAAGAAACTGAGATTCCGCGATTGATTTCCATTGCTTGCATACCAATTTGAAAGTGGCGATGCACTTCAGAGGTAATCTCGCTAGTATAAGTGTCCATAGATCTTCCGTTAAGGAATAGGTCATCAAATTCATCTTCTTCATCATCTTCATCTTCTCCTTCATCTTCTTCATCTTCTGCTTCTTCTTCTTCCCTGTCTCCATTAGAATGAGGGAGAGGGGCGCAGCTGTTAGGGTTTAGATCGGATTAGGGTTTACTCTATTTCAAAGTTTGACCCTCGGTTATTAATATTTATACTAGGTTTTCCTTATACTGGCACTAAGCTGCTAAAGTTATTTTGGAATTATTTTTTTTTTTTTGGTTTTTTTTTGGTTTTTTTTTGGTTTTTTTTTTTTTTAAAGGAATAAACCAATAGTAGAATCCAAAAGCACAGAATCTAAGTATTGAGGTCAACAAACCAAGTTGGAAAATCAATAAATAAAAGTGATATGTATATACAAAGAACTTGGGCAGTATCACCACCTAGATATAAAAAATCGAGTTGCAGAAGCAACTAACCAATAAACCTACTGTGTCTTTGACATTCAATAGATTTCAAAGAATACTTTATCTGAATTTTTGTGATCTTTATTTGGACTCTATGGAATAAGTGAAACTGATTTGCAAGCGTCTAGATGGTTTAACCGACAAGTTCCAAGAAGATATTCCGGGAGCTCCTCTTCGGTATTCGCCTGTACCAAGAATGCCATTTCAATCACGAGTTTGTTGAGGTAACCAAGAACAAGACTCACAACTCCTCTTGCAACAGTTGATGAGCCAATATCAACGCCCAGCTCAATATAGTTCTTTCCCCTGAAGTAATTGATCTCCAGGGCCTGACCAATAAGGCACGCTTTCTTTCCCACACTCTGCTTAACTATCCAAGATCCCTTGGATATGTAAGGAATGAGCTTGAACCGTGAATTCCTATATGCGTCATCACCATTAACAAAGCTAACTAGCAAAGGATGCTCTTCAATGGGTGTGCTCATCATGTAATAAAGCACAAGGCTGTACGTTGTTGATCCTGGAACCTGTATATTCACGATGAAAAAGAACTCTGGTCCACCTTTTGCTGCATATTTCTGAACGATGCCTCCAGGACGGGACCCCAAATCATCCTCCCGCTTATCAGATTTTAGCCAGTCTGCAGCTACCATTTCCATCAGTGTACCCTTTGCCTTGACCTTCTTCTGGTCTGAAAGATAAGTCTTTCCTCGGATGAGAAAAGTAGAGGGATCGGTCGTTGTCCAACTACAAGGCAAAGCACAAGTAGGATCAGTTGGAAGAGTGGTTCCATAGCAGCAAGGCGTGCTACTCTCTTCCCTCGCCTTCTCATGCAGGTCAACATAGCCCCTCTTTTGAACTGCAAGATCGTGTAATTTTTTCACTAAGCTCGTAGCGCTATTTAGTTTTGGCTGGCGGGATTCCTGAGAGTATGTATCCGAATCATAATCTGAGGTCCAGCTTTCATCCAACGGGTCATTATCTGACGGTTCTGGAACGTCGAAAAACTCATCCACTCCATCGTTCAAGTCTACAAGGCTAGACCGCTCTGAGGGAAATTTGTCTCTCTCGTCATTAGCAGTCTCCTTGAACATTTCGCTTTCTCTCAGAGAAGAATCACCAAACACACCATCTTCGTTTTGATTCAGTAGTGCACTTCTTGACGACTCCCCTCTATTTTTATTGGTTTAATATATTGTTTAATATAATAACATTATTATTTAGTCTTTAAAAAAAAAATTAATATCATAAACAGATAGACCATAAAATACGTACTAAGTTTGTCAATACTAAATTTACGACACGCTTCTTTGTGGTCTTTTGACAATAGTCTCTTCAGAAATAGGATGCTTCTTTGTTTTTCTAAATTATTGTCACCATTCCCAAGTTTCGTAGCATTGTTTATAGATCCAAAAGTAGGAAGCAGCTTTTACCTTCCGCTTTGATCTTCTACTCACTTCCAACTTGGGTATCTTGCTTCTCAGGCGACGATTTTCCAGTTATGGAAACAGAGGAATAATGTTCTCCAAAACCAGACATCTCTCACCACCCTTTTTGTCTTCAAAGGAATTGACCGAGAAGTTAGAAATATTATCTCGGCAAGGAGGCATAGGAAACGGTTTAAAATTTGATGTGCTTGTGGATTAGATTATCTGTTAGCATCTGTCTGTTCTCACTTGTAGTGCTCCCTTGTTTTTTATTTCTTTTTTGCCAAGGTAGTACAAATTTTAGATTTGCTTTTTGTAAAATCTATCTTTCATTTTTAATGATATTTACAGTTGTAGCAAAAAAAACAAAAAAAAAACTTTGGTATCTTTACTTCTTGTATATGCTGTATAAAAAAAATGTGTTTAACATAATACAATAGTAGTATCAACGGTTCTGTTCATTTGGCTTTCTTGTTACTTGTGTCTACACTTTGGCTATGATGATGATCACTCAAACCTGATGGGTGTTTTGCAGATTGACGAGAGAATAGGCTCAGCAAGAGCAATGAGCTTGTAAAGAGAATGATGAGAAGAACGGTTTTTTTTTTTTTCTTTTAACATGTGGAGTTTCTTGATTATTTGTAGAGAACATTATTCATAAAAGTGCAAGAGGGATTTATCCACTTTGTACATTAAAAATTGTTAGCTTACAGATTTGAAAGTTGAATTTGTTACATAGAAGAAAGAAGAATAGGAGTGTATCTCACTGTGTAAACGCAACATTTGTAACTCTCAGCTTCAAATAACAAGTCTTTTTTTTTTTTTTGGTTACAGTTCATGTTATTCTCAATTCTCTCATTCTCAACTCTTGCGTGGAAGTTGGAACTAAGAAGAGCTTATTCATCATATCTACAAGATCCTGAATATGTACACTCTTGGTTTCATGGCATGCTTGTAAACATTCTTCTTCAGTATGTTCACAAACATGCCTCCAAACTGAAAACAGAGCACCTCTGTTTCATCGACTAATTTAGCTGCTGAAAATGTGTAAGAGAAAGCTAGTAAAGATGAGATTAATATAATCACTACGATGCAGTAGTCTCATGAGTAAATTTAAGCCATCGATCTCAATATTCTTTTATTTTTTTACCTTATCTAGTAGTCTTTGGATCAAAACAAGAGATTCATGAACTGATACTGATATATCATAAAATCAAATGTTCTTTTGTAAACTGAATCAGAGGACTTTTTAGTCACATGTTTTGATTAGTTACCGTAACTAGAATGGCTATGAATCAGTTCCATAATCTCGAATTGATTTGAGTTTAATCAATTGATTAAATAGCCATTTAAGGGCTTAAGCACAATGTTACATACAATTATATACACAAGTACATTCACCATCCTACTTTTTGCCTCTCTCTACTCTTTGACTCTTGACCTCAATCGAGCCATATGCAGACTTCCAAATTCATGGCGACCAATAAAGTTTCCAAATTTCTCCGATTCGGCGACCTGATTTGGAATTTGCTGCGGAAAATCCATGGAAACCTAATTTGGACCCCAACAACTCAAGTACATGACCGTACGGAGCGATTCCTCAGCCTGCTTCGCCTTATCGGAGGAGACGCCGGATGCTGCGGCGGAAGAGGAGGAGGAGAGCTTCTTGGTCTGAGAAATGGGTCTAACGTTATTCCGGAGATGATGATTAATCGACCGGAGAACGTAGTTCCACCGGCAAACGCCTAATTGGTCTTTCAGTGTCTCAACGACACCGATGCTCGCCGCCACAGCCCATGCCTTGCTCGTAGAACTCATCTCAAAATTAATACTCTTTTTAATTGCTTTGTTTGATTTCTTTTTTGGATTTAGATTGGAAAGTTAGTGAATTTGCCGATGAAAGTGAATGAAAATCGACGGGTTTATTATATAAGAACAAGAAACAGACAAAAGTGTCGCAAAGCTGCAAGTAAAACCAGATGCCTCAAGCCGTTAGTTTTCTCGGTTTCGGTGTCTATAACCTTGGGAAATGACCTTTTTGCCCATCTCAGACTAACTTGCTATTTGACAGTTAGGGACAGATTGGATAAGGGGCAAAATTGGGTTTTCGTATATCCTGGATTGCATGGTTTTAAGCTTTTGCGCAACTGGTTTTGGAGTTTGGACACGAGTTCTGCCAACCACCTTGTCCTTTTCAACTATTTTTTTAAAGGAAATTGTCTTTTTTTCTTTCTCGACATCAACTTTTCAAGAATCCAGCTCTTTGGTATAACAAATGTATATTATTAGATTGGACACACATCTTTAATCATCCTGGCACATGATAAATACAGCGCTTAGGTCTTGATTACGGGCGTGGTGGACTTGATTAAAAAAATTATAGTACATCTTAATGGTGATGGAGACACAACTGCGGTTCTTAAGGATAATTAGATCTGAACTTTCTATACCCAGCCCGGTTCAACAAAATGGCTCCGGACAAGAAAAAAATGTGGTCCTGAGAAAAAAATAGAACCCTCTAATTTATTAATCTAAAACTGATTTAATGGTCAACAAAAAAGTAAATTAAGCGGATCCTAAACAGTCGTCTAGCCTACCCTAGTCTCTAAGCCGGCCTATCTATACTATACCAAAACCATTAGACCAGCAACATACGGGAGTGATAGATGAGGATGACCTTTTAAGTTGAGGAGTTAATTACTACCAACCAATAATAGACGCTTTTGGAACATAGAGAAGAAACTTGATGCATTACTTAAGGAAGAAGACGTGATGTTAGTTATACTTCACCTCAAACTTCAAAACCAGTTCGCATTGTTTGTAATCATGAAATATCGGATGAAATATTCGGTTAAAATTAAGTGGATATCAACAACAATGTTAGAAGTCGAAGCTAAAGCACTTCTTATGGCTATGCAACAATCGTGGAACATGGGTATACAAAAGGTATACTTCGAAGGAGATTGCAAGATGCTTATAGCCCACTTTAAATGGAAAATCTACAATTTTCCATATTGAAAATGTGTTCGGACATTCACCATTGGAAGAAGAAATTTAAGAAATTTATTTTTCATTATATAAAGAGAACAAGAACAAACAACATTCTCGCGGATTCTTTAGCAAAGCATGTGCCTCCATATACTATTTTTTTTTTTTAAGTCGAATTCCGTTCTTAGGGATTGTATAAATTTTAAGCATGTGCCTCCATATACTAATAACCATTTGACGAAAAAAGAACAGAGCTTAGGTCCACTAAAAATAATGAAGCAATCAATATTACCAATACCTAAAAAACACAACTACTTTCCCCCTCTTAATTAGACCAAAATACTCAAAACAAGTCAACCCCATTCAAAAATTGAAACAAAACCAAACACCATCATTCGATCAAAAGGGGGAAAAAAAAAAAAACCAAACACCATCCGAGAATAATTAAAGGAAAAACAATCAAAAGCAAGTGGAGTCAGTCCTCTCACCGTGCTCAGGACGGCGAGGAAGGGATTCGATAAAGCCAACGCGGGAGAACAAACGTGCAAAGCTCTGAATCATAGATACTTCTTTCCATTATCGAACTTGCCATTGTAAAACTCAAAGTGAGACCGTCGCTGGTACGTTCCAACTTGTTATGAAGTCCAAGCTTGCCTTTGTTGTATAAGTTAGTAGATACCAAACGTTTACGCTTCTGACGTTTATGATTCTCGCTCGACAGGTACAATGTTTCACCATCAAAACGGTTCATCGCCAGCGGAAAAATGTCATTGAAATCGGGCTTAAAACAAACCGAAGATATCTGAGATACGTGTTCCCATTCCCCACTTTTTAGCCTCCATACTTTTAGCTTATCCTCTTCCAATATGTTCATAAGCATGAGAAATCCTTGAGAACTTGTCCAAACTCCTCCTTTGTAATCATCCTTAAAATTTTCTACATCAGGGTTAATTGTAACCCTGCATCGATCAGACTCCGTGCCAGTAGCGTAGAAATCATGGGATACAATAGCGTATTTCTTGTCTGCGGTCGTGCCGGCCCAGTGTAGGTTTCCGCTCATGCTAACAGATTGTTGCCAATAAACAAGGCTCAAAGGGAGAGAAGAACGGAGAGTTTTAAAACTCCACTTGCATGTCTCAGATGAATATATCAGTAAACTTAAGACACCTTTTCCACATTTACTTGAATCCATCAGGACAACCTTGTAACCTAAAAGTTCACCGTTTTCAATCCTTGTGACGAGTCCTGTGGGATTGAAATAATAAACTTTTCGATGAACAGGCAGAGGAGGGATTTCGACATATTTCCTTGATATGGGATTAGCCACGTAGTAGGTGGGATTATAATTCACCGGTTCTTTCGAACTGATCAGAATCAATCCGACTTCCGTGTAAGCCAAGACTCTAACCTCTTGTGTTTTCGTCGTTGTCATGCTGTTTATGAAAGAGGAGACGTAAGAGCCAAGGGACCGTGGAAGCCCCCAAACGTCGCATCCGTAGTGAGCAACGACTTCTTCAGGTGCGTTTTTGTTCCGTCCGTCTCTCCACATGACCGACCACGAAGAGTGCGAGTTTTGATGGTGAGAGAGGAAATGCTTACGAAGAAACTGAGATTCAGCGATTGATTTCCAGTGCTTGCATACCAATTTGCTAGTGGCTATGCTCTTTAGCGGTAGTCTCGATAGTATAAGTGTCCATAGATCTTCCGTTAAGGAAATCGTCATCATATTCATCTTCTTGTTCTTCTTCATCATCTTCTTCTTCATCTTCTGCTTCTTCTTCCCTGTTTCCATTAGAATGAGGGAGGAGGGCGCGGCGTTTAGGGTTTAAGTTGGATTAGGGTTTACTCTATTTCAAAGTTTGACCCTCGGTTATTTATATTTATACTAGGTTTGGGAACAAAATAGCTACTATGTTATATAGCTGCGCTACGCCGCCAAGTTTTTTTGGAATTATTATTAATTTTACTTTTATATTGTAATTTTATTATTTAGTCTTTGCAAGAAAAATAATTTTTTGTAGACAAAAAAATATTTTAACGATAGAGAGTGATAGAGCTTAAAATACTGAATTTGTAAATATTCTTTTTGGTCTTTTTCAATCGTCTTATTTGTAGAAATAGGATGCTTCTCCCCATTGTTTTTCTAAAATATTGTCACCATTCCGAAGTTTGGTAGCATTGTTTATAGATCCAGAAGTAGAAAGCGTCTCTTCATTCATCTAATTCCGTTTTGATTTTCTCCTCACTTCCAACTTTTGTATCTTTACTTTGTTTTAACGATGTATATTAACATATTACAATAGAAATGAACATTATGGATGATGAATTTGAAGTGAACATAATCTTTGTTGCTATGTTGGTGACATGTTAAATCATCAAGCGGGTTTTCTCTGACAGTACGAGAACTTGTGGAAGTCTGAATAGAGACTTCAAAGTTGTACTCAGAGATCTTGGCTTGAAAATTCATTGCTTTTCCAAAGACATTTTGGTATTGTTTTATTATTGGGGCTGTCTTCTCCTTCTGTTACCTGTTTTTATTCCATTATTTTAGACGCATTGAATTGTAGTACGTATGTTTATGGAACGTGTCTTAAACTATTTTGCTACCTCTGATGTACTAATATCTTTAGTTGTGGTGTGTTATGTGTAATATAGTTTTCCTATCACCACCACCCAACTACTAATTCCACTATAAACCTGATTATATGTAATAGATTAAAGAATAATATCAAATTATGGTCCGCTCACGATCATCAGATATAGCCACCACGGACTTCCTTAAGAACAATATAATTAAAGACTCAAGATTTGATTCATATGTTACATTTTGAAAAGCAGACAACCTTTCTCTCCATCAGTGTCTATTACAAGCAGCTTCCTATTTTTCCATTGGTTAGAAATGCAACCTCATCATCACTTTACCTTAATGGAAAATCTTGGCTTGCTTGATGAGGTCCTTGTTGGGCTCAGACTCCTTCATGAACTCAAGCAGCATATATATGTGTACCTAACGTTCCTGTAAAACATAATCTCTCTCCACTCCCGCCCGCTGTTCGCCATAGCGTCAAAGCAAACCCTTTTGATGTTCACGTCAGTATGTTCACAAGCATATCTCCAAACTCATCATTACGAAACATAAAACAGTGCACTCTGTTTCATCAACCAATTCAGCTGATGAAACGACTCTCTTTATTTCAATGCTCAAGTAACAGAAGGCATGTAAAGAGGGACTAACATTAACATACATTCCCACAATGCAGTAAAAATCAGTCCAATACGACTATACGAGCCAACGAATAAATCTTGTCTTTTGGATCAAAACATGAGATTCATCAACTAATAGTCTAATACTAATTGGAAAAATCATATTTTAACTATTAAAGTAGAAATTATAGGCACTATTGAGAATTTTATTGACACTATAAATCTTTAAACCAAACAAACTCACATATAAACAATCAAAACAGTTTTTGAATTATGTCGCCAAAAGTTTTAACAGAACATTTAACTCTTCATTAACAAGCGATACATAACTTATAAAATTCTCTTATAAAGTAGTAATGAAGGTTCACAAAAAAAGAGAGGATAAAGCACTAATGGTTTTTGTTATACACTATCTCCTTTATATGAAAGGGATTGAATTCCAAGCTTCTCAGGCAGTACTCCACTTAAGCAAAAATATTCAGAGAAATAATGAGGCAATCACACCATTTGAAAGCTACACATCATCAGAAGTTTGTCACGTGGCATAGATCAAACCTAGATTATTGTACATTCATCTTCTCCCGACTTCTTCAAATTCTTCATTGCTATTTGTAACAACAATTTGTTTCTTCTTCCAAATTTAATGTCGACCTCTTTGTATTCCTTTCACTTTCTAAAGTGCCATTGTTCTTCTTATTTTTTTCACACTAAAGCAACCTCAATGGTGAACTTTTGATGGGGTTCATCTTTAATTTTTTATTTATTTAATTTTAATGATTGAAAAATTTAGAACCCATTAAATTTTTTTCTCCAATGGTAATTCTCTCTTGGGGTTTATTGTTTTGGGGGAAGAGAAAGATTGTTGCAGAAAGAAAAAAACTTTGCCAATAGAAAACTGCCACATAGCCGATGAATCCCATCAAAACTGGGTTCTAAGGGCATCTCCATTGCAGTATCATACGTGGGTCCAGTTTCAATTTTTGGCTCAAAAATAAAGATTTAAAGATCAAATGCAGTCATACGGTATCTTCCCAGTGATACCGATGATCCCGTATCATGAGAGTATGACTGGATATGTGGCAGTGTATGATTCACTTAGGGAAAAAAGTGGGGACAAAATTTTAATCGAATGAACCCCGAATTACGGGTTCAGGGATGGAGATAACTTTTCAAATCAAGTTCTTCACTGTTCCGAAAAAAAAATAATAATAAAACAATTGCTATGATACCCACTTTGGAGATCAGCAATGGAGATGGCCTAAGCTGATCCCCAGTATGGGTATCATAGCAATTGATTTAATATTTTTTTTTCGGAACAGTGAAGAACTTGAATCAAAAAGTGACCTCTATCCCTGAACCCGTAATCGGGATTCATACGAATAAAATAATATGTTTTTTCGATTTATTTTTTTTCGATTTAATTATGAAAATATTTTTAAAACAAACTTACATCTCAAAAATAATATTCAATAACAAATTGAAAAGAGAACAAGTTATAAAATAGAGAGAAAAATTTAATAAAGTATTTTAAAAAAAAGAATATAGCAACAACTAAATCTACAAAATATTAAAGCTATAGGTAAGGATGATGGAACCTATATATATATAATATATTATATGTAAACAAAATCTAAAAATAGCAATTTGAGAAAGTTAAAAATTATTGCTAAATAGTGATTTAAATTAAAAATGTGAAAAATAGATGTAAGAGATTATTAATAGATAGTACAAAAAAGTAAATAGTTTATAATTTTGTAGTATAGCGCAGATTCTTTTCTAGTTGGAATAATACATTGTAAAACAAGTTATATTACATAGGTTTAGAATTTAAATTACAAATTATTCAAATTATGTTTTAAAAACATATAATATACAAGAAGTAGACGTTTAATCATAAGGCGTTTCTGTTCCAAATTTAAGCCATATGTGTTCAACTAAATCAGCCTTCAATCAGTCATGAATTTTTTTGTCACGAACTTCGTTTCGAACGCTGATCATATTGCTAATATTTGTGGACATATAAGTTGAATATGTCATATCGACTTCTGACGTTCTGTTTCCTTCTCCCTGTTGAAATTCTGATACATTATATTGGGTGTCGAATGGTCGTTCGTTTTCAACTATCATATTGTGTAATATGATACATGCCCGCATGATCTTTCCTATTTTTTCCTTATCCCAAATAAGAGCTGGATTTTTAACAATGGCAAACCTGGCTTGTAAGACTCCGAAAGCCCGTTCGACATCTTTTCGTACACCTTCTTGGCATCTCGCAAATGTCTTGTCCTTTTCAGATTGTGGAAGTGGAATTGATTTGTTAAATGTTGCCCAATTTGATAAATTCCGTCGGTTAGGTAATATGCCAGCTTGTACTGGTGTCCGTTGACATAGTATCTGACTTTAGGAGCTTGGCCTTGTAATATGTCATCAAAAACAGGCGAACGGTCAAGAACATTGATATCATTTAAAGTACCTGGAGATCCAAAAAAAGCATGCCAAAACCACAGATTGTGTGATGCTACAGCTTCTAACACAATTGTTGGTTTCCCTGAGCCCCGTGTATATTGCCCTTTCCAAGCTGTTGGACAATTTTTCCATTCCCAGTGCATGCAATCAATACTTCATACCATACCGGGAAACCCCCGGTCCTCCCCAACATCTAGCAGCTTCTTCAGATCTTCTGGTGTGGGTCTTCTAAGGTATTCATCCCCGAACAGAGATATTATTTTTTCGGTGAATTTTTCTAAGCATTTGATTGCCGTACTTTCACCAAGACGAAGGTATTCATCAACTGCGTCAGCCGCACTTCCATACGCCAAAATACGGATTGCTGCCGTACATTTTTGTAATCCAGATAGGCTAAGCCTTCCAACAGCATCTCTCCTTTGCTGAAAATATGGCACTTCATTTGATAGTCGTTCCACATTGTGCATGAAAAATGGCTTGTTCATTCTAAACCGACGCCGAAATATATGGTAAGGATATGTAGCGTTCTCAGCGAAGTAGTCGTTCCATAATTGGGCGTGCTTTTGTTCTCGTTGTCTTTCTATATATGCCCTCTTCTTCTTCATTGGTTTAGAACCGGCTTGTCGCTCAAGTAAAGCGTTGAAAGCGCTGTCAAAATTTTGATCAAACATGTCATCAAACTTTTCATCAAAACTCTCATCAAGACCATCATTGACACCGTCATAAGGATTATATAGACCATCATTGCCACCATCATAAGGATTATAATGAGGATTATTAGAAGAAGAAGCCATAAAACTATGTAAGAGAGAGTTTGGGTTTAGAAAGAAACGAATGAGGGAAGTTTGGGTAGAGGTTTTTATAACAAATGTCGAGTGATAATAATGTTACGACCAAATGCAGTTTCTATATATCGATGTACATGTGGATACAAAACAATTACATAAAGTTGTGGATACAAAAGATCACTAAAAATACATGGCTGTCGAGCCCTTGTACTATATGGTTTACAAGATTTTGTGGACAGAAAACAACTCTCCATAATATATGGCTTAGAGATCACTAGCACCAACTCATAGAGGACCCATATTCCAGCAACTTGCGCCTGACTTGTCACCACAACCTGTACGCCAATAGAAAACAAAATACACATAGGACCCATTTTTCTTAGTAACATATATAGGAGACAGCCATCAAGACATAAACATAACTGATTCACATTAACTACACCAAACAGCCATTAAGACATAGAACATACTAGTTCAGAAATATAAAACATAAAACACTTAGACTAAGACATAGTACAGAAATATAAAACTTAAAACACTAAGACTAAGACAAGAATTCTTTAATGAGTGATTCCCTTAGAGTTTTTTCACCCTCTGATAGTCTATCTCCTTTTGCGAGTAAGTGCTCAAGCATTCTCTGCCTGGAGAGCATCTTTTTGTGTGCTATATCCTGTTGTTTTATTTCTCACATGTTGGTGAAGTCTATCATTTCCTCTTCAACTCCCCGAACAGCCTTTTTACCCTTGGCTTTCTTGGCAGACTTCACACCAGGGGGTCGTGCCTCTGCTGTCTCCTCTCCGTGACAACCAGGTTGAGGGGAATCTGGCTTAGATGAGTTAGCATCTCCTTTTTTCCGTTTTTTTTTATCAGCATCTTTTGCAGCCGAGGATGAGCTCCACTTTTGGTCATGCCTCAGTTCCCTCCAGGCATGCTCAAGGCCATACTTAAACCCGTGATCATTGAGGAAGATCTGATGAGCATTCTTCATCACGTCGTTTTCGTTTTGGCCACTGCTTTGCTCTTTCAATGCTGCTTTCAAGAAGAGATCAGGACAATGTCTTCAGTAGGATGCCACTTCCTCCTTGAAGTCTGATCCTCACTCTGCTGGGTGCTAAACGTTGGAACTTCTGAGGATGCAAGATCTACAGTCGGTGCGAATGACAAAGATATTTCTTCTTGGCTGTTTAGGAGGTTTAAAAAACTGTGGGAGTTACCATATGGGTTCGGTGAATCCATAGGAGGGTAAGAGAAGAAAGCTTGTTGGAAAGTATGAACGGCTTAGACAAGGGTGTGAGACAGAAAAGGGGTATGAACGGCTAAGATAAGGGTTTCATAGTGTAAGAGACAAGGGTTTAGGTTAGAGTTTTTATTTATATAAGGATTACTCATTCTTGATTTTTAGGTGTGTTAAGTGTTATTTTTGTTTTGTTACTTTTCCAATGAATGAAGACAGACGCATTAACTCGTGAATTAAACAGATGTGAGCTTTGACACGATTGGATTTAACTTTCAACCTAACAACTATTTACCCTAACCTAAACCAGCAATATTGACAAGAAAGACCATTACTAACCACCTAACTTGTTTAAAAGCAATAACTACAAACTGACCTTGTTTAAACGCATGACCGCATTCTCGTTAGACTCCAACTATTACGTTCCTTATCCAATTTACTTTCATCAAAGACACCTCGCACAACAAACCAAGTCATCAGTAACCGAATACCACCAGAACAAAATATTAAACAAAGAAAAGACAAGTGTAATTACCTTTGTGTGATAGGCTGCCGCGTACGCCATACCTGTCAGGGTCATACACCAAAATACGAAAGCAAAACGGAAGATATATACAAAGCCATAACATAACAAAGGAAATAGATAGATGACATAAGTTTAGTGTCTTAACGAAGTCAATAAGGGCTTAAACAAGTAGCCAACAACATACATAACATAGCCAACAACAGCCAACAGCAGTCAACAGGCGCTTAAACATGTAGCCAGTCAAAGCAGTTAAGACAACATGAATGAGATTGCCGCTATGACACAAAAAAACAAAGTAGCAGATAGTTATCACCTTGGTTAGCCATCTCCTGCTTCAGGGTTGACAGTTCACCCTGCAGGACCCTTAGTTCCTCACGTATTTCACCTTGGCTAGCCATCTCTTGCTTCAGGGTTGATACTTCACCGTGCATCACCCTTAGCTCCTCACGTGTTTCTGCTTGGTTAGCCATCTCGCTCAAGTAAAGGTTGGAAACTTCTCCCTCAAGCTCCATTAGCTCCTCCCTTAGTCCTCCAATGCTCTGTATCGGAAGTGTTTGCAGCCCAAACATGTCCTCCTTTTGCTCTCGGATCCTCATGCCCAATTTACCGATTTCCTCTTCCACAGCCTTTTCCCACCACTTAAAGATATGCTCCGGTGTCTTCCACTGCACAAATGACTTAAGCTAAAATAAACCTTTTATATAACTTCCAAAAAAATTGACTAGCAAATGTAACCGATTAACTTACGTCATCTATCCAGTCAGGACACACATAGAATTTGCGTCCATTACTGTCCGTCTCTGCATCTTTGGACACACATTTAACCTTCAGCTGTTTTCCGCAAAAACACTTCTCCGGTATGCCGTAGTTGGCATCACCGTAGGCCCACCGGAGGTCTTCAAGGGGTTCATCATCAGAGGAAGGTTCGCTGTAGCTTATAGGCATGATCTGCAATGAACAACAACGACAAAACTTAACGATGATGCACAAAAAAGGTCTAAACAATGATCCAGAGTCTAAACGCAACCAAAATTCATCAAACGCATACAAGGAATACATGTACATATTCATCAAACGCAAGCTTGAAACGCCTCAAATCAAACGCCTCAAAATTCATCAAACACATACATCAAACGCATTCATTCAAACGCATACATCAAACACATACATGTAGATATTCATCAAACGCAGTCATCAAACGCATTCATCAAAAGCATTCATTCAAACGCCTCAAATCAAACGCCTCAAAATCAAATGATTCAAAAACCCACAACTTATCCCTTTTACGAAATCCTAATCTGCTTTGTATCAACACACTAACAACTAGATAATCAATAGACTTCATCAAACGCATCAGTAATTATACCTAAAACCCCTAAAATCAATCGATTAAAAAACCCCCAAATTTGTTCATTTACGAAACCCTAATCTGATTTATATCACCGAATTCGATTTGTTACCAGCCGTTAATGAACACAATTCAATCAACCACAGACTCAGATGCTTTGAGAAAACCCCTTAAATCCCAAAACCCAAAGAACCCTAAATTTTTCCGCATACCCAAAACCCTAATTCTATCGAAATCAACGAAAACAAACATGAAACACCAAGCAAAGATAGAATCGCGTACCTGGGTAACCAACCGGTGATGTTGCTCGGGATTCTCGGCTCCGGTAACGGAGATTTGCTTCTGTGATTTACAGTCGCCGATTTCGTCGCAAAAGTTTTGAGAAGAGAAAACACGAGAAGAAAACACGAACAAATTTTTGTCCTCAAAATGACCCCAAAATTTTTATTTCTCATTAAACCCAAGCACCAATGAAAAAACGCCACGTCCTCGATGATACTCTGATGATACGGTATCATCAGTATCACTGCAGTGATACCGTATGAATGGAAATGGGCCAATTTTAATAAATTTTAATACAAAAAAACGCACGGGCCCACTTATAAACCCCTTATGAGCCCGCGATAGAGATGCCCTAGGCCATCTCCAACGCAAGCTCCTCCAGTATCACAAGTGGGTCCCTGCGTGTTTTTTGGATTAAAAAATTAAAAACAAAGTCCAAATTCATTGATACCGTATGAGTAGAGTGAGTCTGATGAACCCGTATGACTAGGATATCACTGGACATGTGGCGTTTTCTTATAGGCTGGTGTGTGAAGGAAAAAAAATTCCTGAAACAGAGCATCTCTTTCGTTTTTAAAAATGTTTGCTTCATTTTCTTCCTCATTTAGCCATTTTTCCGATTGTGGTTGCGATTGTTTGACACCGTGAAAAAGCGTTCGGATGTGGTCGGAGCTTTTTCTGCATGGCGGTTTGCTTCCAAGGAAGTACGGCAAGGAGATCGAGCTCTGCAAATTTCGTCGTCGTTTAATTTTTAATTTCCTCGTCCAGGATTTTGTAAACGGAAGCGATCTTATTTGAGTGTTTCCATGAGATGAGAAACGGAGGTAAATGGGGAGATTGAGAACAGCTTTTCTGGATCTCTCTCGTTGTTTTGTCTGTGTTTCTAAGGAGATTATCGTTCAAGACGGTGCGATTCGCTTTCGATTCTCCGTCTCCGTTAACCGAAACTCCATCGATTACGGCGAATCTCATGGCGGCGATGTGGTGAATTCATTGTCTTTTGATTTCGTTATGATGATACAAATCCAGTAATGTATGAAGCAAATTCGTTGAATTTTTGAAGCTGATCTTGATTTTCTGATAGGTAGAGCAAACATGGATTCAATTTTAGAAAAAAATTGAAAGATTGTCTTCTCTATACCCCTCTTGATTTTTGAAGCTGATTTTGATTTCTGCTATTGAATTTGATTGCTTTCGTTTTGTCTTTTGTTCCAGTTCTGCCTGATTTTGTTGGATTTGATTTGGTTTTCTTGCTGGTGAGTTGTGAAATGTGAATTATCGGAGATTTGTTTTGCAATTTTCTGTGTGTGGCTCCTCGAGAATAGAATGGACTCAAGTATGACTCAATATGAAATTGTTTTCAATTTACCAGCTGCTTTCTCAATTTTGAAATATGGAATATGATTTTGGTAGAATGGAATATCAAACGCTTGGAGGATGTTCTTCAAGTATCTGCATCGAATCTATCTCTACTAAGTATCTGCTTCATTAAGTTTTCATCTTGATTTAAGTCTGATCCTAGCTGCCATTTTTTATTGTGGTTTTGTGTTTGTGAGGACATATGCAGGGTTTATTGTCATTACACTTCTTGTCATCTGTATTTTTTATTGTGGTTTTCATCTAGTGTTTGTCGTTAAATCTCTGTTTTACTGCTCTCTGAATCGAACAGTTTCTGATATGGGTTTTGTTTTGAGTTTTGCGAGAGGATGATATACTAAGGAAGCAAATCAGTGTACATGGAACTAAAATGTTATTATTTTATTTTGTTGATATTCAAACACAAGTTTAGAGTTGGAAGTCATATTTTGGTTGGAGATCACTACTGTTCCAAAAAACAAAAAAACTAATATAAAATGCCTATAAATCCCAACTATGAGTATCATGGTTGGAGATGCCCTAAAAATCCTTTCTTAAGAGACGGTTCATCAGCTTTTTGATTTTTTTAAATCCAAATAATAGATGAATCCAACCTATAAACTCCTCATGATACACCATTGGAGGTGCTCTTAATGTTGCCACCATCCCAACACTTCTTGAAACGAAGAACCTTTAGGTTTGTAATATTTCCTGCTTATACATTTAGACAATAATCTCAAAGCTTATACATGTGACTATAACTGTATTTAGTTTTGATATTGCTCTTTTAAACAACAACATCGTCACGTTACTGTTTTATGTAATCTCATAATGAAAGACTTATGTAAAGCAATGTAACCCCACTATGATATAGAAACAGAGATTTATAGTTTATATTTTTGGAATTACAAAGACACTAGAGTAATTTGACAATAGAGCACTCCCATAAGACACCACAAAACATTCGATGGATTTTTCCGAAATCCCTAAGACAACTTATATAAATAGCGACTAAAGACGATAACCTATATAAACCATGGTTACTTACTTTATTACACTTCATAAAGAGTTATAAACCACTTAACCTCTAAGCTGACTGCTTCTGTCACACTACTGAATCTTTCATTTCTACCACATATATATCTTCTTTATTTTCTATTGATTTATTTGGGATCATCTCCTCCTTTGTTTACGTTTTGGCTAATTGAGTGTACAGAAAGTGAAATATCTACTTTAGAGTTAAGAATCTGTTTACACCTGCTGCGTTGTCTCTGAGATTTTCTAATATGTTCACTGACACGTTCTGGCTCTACAAGATAGTAGAAAATGAGAATTCTTTTGATTACACAAAGGTTTTTTAACTTGCTTCTTGCTCTTACAGGTTGTTGGCATATCGACTTTACGATCTAAAAACCTAAACGTTACAAGGACAGGGAGAAGAAGCTGCAGCTGAACCAAGCTGTCCTAAACCTCGGAAGAAGAAAAAGAAGAAGAAGAGCTCAAAGAATTATAATTATAGTTGATAACTGCTATTTTATATTAATTTAAATTTTATTCTTTATCATCTTTCATCATTATTTAACCTTTCTATGCTATAATAAAATATGGTTTTAAAGAAGAATTGAAGAAGACAAAGACATGGCGATGATTCTTTCTCTTTTCTGTTAGACTTGTTTATTTTCCCTCATAAAACAGAGTACTCTGTTTCATCAAACAATTAGGCTAATGAAAAAGACTCGCTTTATTAATTTCGCAGGACAAAGTTTAAGTAACCGAAGGCATGGTGATCTCATGGTGATCTCAACACTTGGAAGAATTAGGTGCAACGGACATGAGAGTCTAGCCAAGGGTAAAGGAGAGACGATCTCCCTTGTTGAACAAGTTAATGGCGAAGGGGAGACGACTGTCATTAATTTGTTCTCTCTAGACTTCTATCCCATCACCAATAAGCCATTAGATCACTCAATCTTAACCGGACCAAACCAAAGAGGAGGCAACCAATCTATTGAAGATACTGTTCAACCCAAAAAGAGCCACGAGCATTGTCCAGGTCAAATGAAGTCCAATAACAAGTGTTCCAGCCCAACTGCCACTTGGATCACATTCTTAGCTCAACCAAAGCACGCCTCGAAGTGGAATCAGTCCAATTGGAGTTCAGATGAAGGAGATATTGAGTTTATAAATCGGGTGATCCTCTACTTACCCGATTTGGACATATGCGCCTTAATTGGAGAATTCCGACTAAACCAGGAGGAATTAAGCTATCAACCGACTTGTTCTGGAATCTTGACTCATCAGAGAATCACAGAGAATTTGATTCAGACCGAGATCGATTCTGGTTTAGGAGATATCCAAATTCTAACCCGATGGATCCTCCACTTGCCTTATTTGCCACCTTCTAGGTTTTGGAGTCTTCAGACATATCTTTGGCGACCAGGAGACATTCTAACTCAACCAGAGGCTCTACGAGGCGTCCTTACTTCCACCAAAACGCATAGGATCAATTGGAGATGCACATGGACCGACCTTCCTTATTTAGATCCAAGTGCATTCAACATGTTCACACTTGGTGTCATAACTCTCCAACGGCTATATCCTTGCTGCTTCTACGACTTGAGCACACATTCAGCGAACCTGGACGTCCCAAGACATCACTTCTACGCACCCAAGTTGTCAAGACTTAAGCTCAGCTCCATTTACCTTATTTGGCCGAGATTTGGTCATTATGACTTAAACGGCTAGTTTTGCATTTAGTTTGTGATTTCTTTCTTGCTTTAGCTTTTTAGAACTTCGGTTTAGACTTGTGTAGAGCATTATATAAGCTCATCTTTGTCTTCATTGTAAATCACCATTCAATCTTAAATAAAAGGCATTTTCGTTTTCTTCAAAGAGAGTTCTTTGTAAGAGTTGTTTATTTTGAATATTGTGTGTGATTCACATTGTTCATTAGAATTCTTGGATTAAACTATTTGTGTGATTCAAGTAGTCTGTTCCATCACCTGATAGAGAGAGTCTATCATCATCAGATTGAGTGAGTCAATCAAATCCACCACCTTCCATCCCACCTTCATATCCACTTCCGCACAAAGCTTGTTAGCTTTTGATTATCAAGAGATCACTAAGCATCGGTGTGATTCCGTGCCTACATCATCTGGTATCAGAGCTCAAGTTCCTACCAAGGTGCTTTTGTTTTTATCTTTTGCTTTTTGTTATTTCTTTCATTATAAAATTAAAAACCCATAAAAAACTTGTTTCCATTCTGTTTTCATTGTTTTGTTATCTGATTTCTTTTCTAGACTCACAAAAAAAAAAAATCTCTTGTTTTGAAATATTCTATGCTTGCTTTGATTCTCAAAACCAGAAAATAAAAATAAGAATTTTTCCTTTTGTTATTTGCATTTTCGAATTCTTTTCAAAAAAAAAAATCATAAAGAAAATTTTGCTTTTGCTTATTTTAGTTATCGAGATCTTCCGTTTTTAAAAGAAAGAAAACCAAATAAAAAGTTAATTATTTCTTCTGAATTTTGTCCCAAAAAAAAATAATAATAATCTGTTTTCCTTTTTCTTGTTAGTCGAATTACTTTGTTTCCTTTTACTTGGTCGTGTCTTCAATATTGCAAATATTTATTTTTGTCGACCACTGAGTCACGCTTCTGATTATCTCTTGTCTCTCTCTTGCGAGGTACAACTTTAAAGCCAGAAAATTATGGAGTATGAAGATGAAGCCAACAAATACAACACATCCGAAATTGATTGGGGTGAGGAACCGTATGATTCATGGGAAGGAGGAGGAGCATACGAAGACCAGTCATGCTATGGAGAAACTGATCCTTATATTAGTTATGGAAGTGCCCCAGCATGTGAAGAAGAAGACTCACAGATCGAAGGTGCTGCTTCCCAAATCAGTCATGGAGATGAATATGAGAATTCTGAAAGAGATGACCATGACGGAGATTCATGGCAGGGAGAGACTGAATCCCAGCTCAGTCAAGGAGAGGGGGACCACGAAAGTGAGCAAGATCATAGAGAGTTCACTTATGCAGGAGATCATGATCAGTTCATAGAACAATACCAAAAACGTTGGTATGAAGAAACTGATTCTCAAATCAGTTCAGAAGATGGTGATCCATATGATGATGAGCCTTGGAACGTGGGAGTTGATCCAAAAGAAGGTTATGTTGATAAATTGGAGATTGAAGAACAGGTTCAAGAACCAAATAAAGCAAACATCAACTACACCATGGAAGATGAGTCTTGTGGTGAGCCAACAGATGATGAAGCAGCTTGTGAGCCATGTCACATCTACTTTTCAGGTCATGATCAAGGACCAGAAGCTTACCTACAATGGGAGAACGAAATGGAATACTGGATGCGGTCCAACAACATTCCTAAGGAGGAGAGACTATCATATGCAAATTGACTCATTTGTTGGAGAAGCTACCACCTGGTGGCGACAGGAAGAAGCTCTAAACTACTACCATAATCCAGTTCGCAGTTGGGGTGATCTAAAGCAGCGTATGCACAGAGAGTTCGTACAGAAGTTCTACAACCGCAACTACACTCCCAAGAAGCTTTTGTTCCAAGCAACTACAAAAGGTTGGATATCAAAACCACCGCTTGTCCCTAAGCACAAGCACGCCTACTGTCCTGAGCCAAAGAAAGTGTTTCAAAACACTTTGGAGAAGAAGTCAAATGCTGAGAAACCAGTGGTAACTACAGAAGTTAAACCAAATTTAAACCCACCACTCACAGCTCACAAGGGAAGCACAAAATCGACACTTGAGCCACAAGACAAAGCAAAGCAATGTAAGTCTTCTAAAACTCTTATGATAGATACCAAAATCTGTTATAGATGTCATCAGAGAGGACATTTTGCTAAGACATGCCCATCTAGAGAATTAGAGATTAGTTCATCAGTTGAACCAGAAAAAGAAGAAGCTAGAAAAATAGAAAAAGATGAGTTGCATTTTAAAATTTCCAATTCAGATATGATTTGCTTGTCTTTGCCAAAGGTTTTTGATGCAGGTTTAAATCATGGAGAGCAGCACTATGAAGAGATAGATATGTGTCAGCCTACTCCTGAGAAAGATGAAGTTGTTACCAACTTCACTCTGATCCAACCAGAGCCACCAGATAACATGTTAACTCCAAATGTCGTGGCAATAAAGGAAACAGAACTAAACGATAGTTCTACTCAGGTAAGTAGCACAATTCTCTCACTTATTTCTGATAATTCTAAGTCTGTGATAATGAATATTTTATATCCAGAGACATGTGAGAAAGAACCCATCTCTTATTTTAAACAACAAAACTGTGAACAATATGATGCTTTGCAAAAGGTTAATGAAATGGTTAAACCTAGATCATGTTTCTGTGTTTCTTGTACTACCATGACTGCCATAACGCACTTGTCTTCTGTCAAAAGTGTCAAAGATCTTGCAGGTACAGAAGAGATTTTACAAAAATCCAAACCACCAAGCTTTAGTGGAGACACACCACGTGAATATGAAGTTTTCACCAAGACGACTACGTTGCTGCCAAAGGAAATCAACAACAAACCTTGGAGAGGAGTCATTGCCTCTTTACTGATCAAAGAAGAACCACCAGACATTCCACACCAATCCCACCTGAACTGGAATGGAGAAATGATCCAAGGTAAGTTTCTAGACTCACATCTTTACCATAATACTAACTTGCTCTATCTTTGTGCAGATGAATTAGTTTCGAGGACGAAACTTTTTCAAGAGGGAGGGTATGATGCGGACATCAACCCATCAAGACGTCTCATGGTGATCTCAACACTTGGAAGAATTAGGTGCAACGGACATGAGAGTCTAGCCAAGGGTAAAGGAGAGACGATCTCCCTTGTTGAACAAGTTAATGGCGAAGGGGAGACGACTGTCATTAATTTGTTCTCTCTAGACTCCTATCCCATCACCAATAAGCCATTAGATCACTCAATCTTAACCGGACCAAACCAAAGAGGAGGCAACCAATCTATTGAAGATACTGTTCAACCCAAAAAGAGCCACGAGCATTGTCCAGGTCAAATGAAGTCCAATAACAAGTGTTCCAGCCCAACTGCCACTTGGATCACATTCTTAGCTCAACCAGAGCACACCTCGAAGTGGAATCAGTCCAATTGGAGTTCAGATGAAGGAGATATTGAGTTTATAAATCGGGTGATCCTCTACTTACCCGATTTGGACATATGCGCCTTAATTGGAGAATTCCGACTAAACCAGGAGGAATTAAGCTATCAACCGACTTGTTCTGGAATCTTGACTCATCAGAGAATCACAGAGAATTTGATTCAGACCGAGATCGATTCTGGTTTAGGAGATATCCAAATTCTAACCCGATGGATCCTCCACTTGCCTTATTTGCCACCTTCTAGGTTTTGGAGTCTTCAGACATATCTTTGGCGACCAGGAGACATTCTAACTCAACCAGAGGCTCTACGAGGCGTCCTTACTTCCACCAAAACGCATAGGATCAATTGGAGATGCACATGGACCGACCTTCCTTATTTAGATCCAAGTGCATTCAACATGTTCACACTTGGTGTCATAACTCTCCAACGGCTATATCCTTGCTGCTTCTACGACTTGAGCACACATTCAGCGAACCTGGACGTCCCAAGACATCACTTCTACGCACCCAAGTTGTCAAGACTTAAGCTCAGCTCCATTTACCTTATTTGGCCGAGATTTGGTCATTATGACTTAAACGGCTAGTTTTGCATTTAGTTTGTGATTTCTTTCTTGCTTTAGCTTTTTAGAACTTTAGTTTAGACTTGTGTAGAGCATTATATAAGCTCATCTTTGTCTTCATTGTAAATCACCATTCAATCTTAAATAAAAGGCATTTTTGTTTTCTTCAAAGAGAGTTCATTGTAAGAGTTGTTTATTTTGAATATTGTGTGTGATTCACATTGTTCATTAGAATTCTTGGATTAAACTATTTGTGTGATTCAAGTAGTCTGTTCCATCACCTGATAGAGAGAGTCTATCATCATCAGATTGAGTGAGTCAATCAAATCCACCACCTTCCATCCCACCTTCATATCCATTCCGTACAAAGCTTGTTAGCTTTTGATTATCAAGAGATCACTAAGCATCGGTGTGATTCCGTGCTAATGAAAAAGACTCGCTTTATAAATTTCGCAGGACAAAGTTTAAGTAACCGAAGGCATGTAAAGAGGGATTAACATCAACAAATCCGCACCATGCAGTGAATTTCCGGGCCAACAAAAGTAACTTTAAGCCCATCGATCTCAATCTTGTCTTTGGATAAAAAAAAACATGAGATTCATCAACTGATATATCAAATATTCTTTTGTGTGTGATGATTCCGAGGAGTTTTTGATTAGTTGCTGTAACTAAAAATGACAATCAATCAGTTCCATAATCTCGAAATCATTTTCGAGAATAATGATGACAATGCTACCAATTATATACACAAAAACATGAGGCTCCTTTTTGCCTGTTCTCTTATGACTCTATACTATGCAGACCTTCCAAATTCATGGCGATGAATAAAGTTTCCAAATTTCTCGATTAGGTGACAAAGATTTGGGACTTTGCTGTGGAAATTTCATCGAATAGAGATGTTGAAAAGCCTAATTGGGACCCCAACAACTCAAGTACATGACCGTTCGGAGCGATTCCTCAGCCTGCTTCGCCTTACCGGAGGAGACGGCGGAAGCGGTGGCAGAAGAGGAGGAGGAGAGCTTCTTGGTCTGAGAAATGGGTCTAACATTATTCCGGAGATGCTGATTAATCGACCGGAGAACGTAATTCCACCGGCAAACGCCTAATTGGTCTTTCAATGTCTCCACGACACCGATGCTCGCCGCCACAGCCCATGCCTTGCTCGTAGAACTCATCTCAAAATTGAAACTCTTTTTAATTTTGCTTTGTTTGATTTTTTTTTTTTTTTTGGATTTAGCTTTGAAAGTTTGTGAATTTGCCGATGAAAGTTAATGGCAATCGACGGGTTTATTATGTAAGAACAGAGAAACAGTCAAAACCGCCGCAAATAAAAGCTCAAGTAACAAAAAAAAACAGATAACGAAAGCCGCTGTTTTTCTTGGTTTCTACCGATTTAGGTGTCGATGAGCTAGAAATGACCTTTTTCCCCAGCCAAGGCTACTTGTTCTTTGATAGTACTTCAAATTAGATAAGGGGTAATATTGAGATTACATATATCCTACATTATCGCGGTTTTAGCGTTCCCGCAACTGGCTTTGGACTTCCGCCCACCTTTCAAGTTTCAAACCGTCTGGTTTCATATTAATTTCATTTTAGAATATTACACTAAATGTCTATGAATAATATCAAAATTAGGTAACATCGTCTGATACTATTTTCTACAGTGTTTTAAAATAGAAGCTAGATTTTACCCGATGCATTCGCACAGGAATTTTATCAAATATTTTGTAATGTAATTTATGAATTTTCGTAGATATAATTTTTTAATAAATGATTAAGATTCATTTTTTGTTTATATATATAATTTATATTTAAATTTTTCTGTTAGTATTATTATGACCGCGAACATAAAAACATAATTATAACTCAATCATTCTAATAATCGAAAAGATAGTTATTATAAAAACATAATTCTATTCATTCATTTTATTAATGCGCAAAAAGCTGTGGTTATAAAAACATAATTCTAACCATCTGTTCATATATATTACTATATAATAACATATTTACTAATTTTGAAATATTTTTATCTTAATATCTTGCATGTTTTGATATCTTAACCCGCATAAGACCACACTTATAAAAAATAAAACCTAACCCGTCCCATCAAATTACTATATTATATAAATATTTAGCAATTTTTAATATGTAAAATTTTTGACTGATTGATTATGATTAAAAAAACACAATAACATATTCGTTAATTATATGTTTATATGAAAATATTATATCAATTTCAAATATTCAATTAAATCTAAACTATATTTAAAGAAGTCTAAAATAATTTAACTTAATAAATTAATATCTAACTTTTTAGACTTAAACTTAATTACAAATTTTTTAAAATATTTTAAATTTTAAATTAAATATAATTTTCGGAAATTTATATTAAGAAAATCTTTAATTATCTAAATTGATATATAATTTTTGGAATTACTTTTTTATATAAAAGATTATATATTTTTTTAAATAATATCGCAACAATAGGATAATCTTAAAACAGTTTTCAAATAATTATTTAAAAAAAAACCTTTGAGAGTGTTTGGATATAAGCACTAAAAGTGCTTCTGTTTTAATCTAATAATTTTTTCAAAATTCATTTTTTTAAAGGAGAAAATCATATATATTATAAGCAAAGTAAAATTTTGAGTTAAAGCTCTCTCCTTCAATCTTAAGGTGACTAATTACCTTTTATCCCTTCTTATATTTTTTAAAATTAAATTTAATAAAAAAATTATTAAAAACCGTAAATTAATTAAAAAATTATTAAAAATCGTCAATTAATTAAAAAATTATTAAAAACGTAATTTAAATAAAATATTAAAAATTGTAAATTAATAAAAAAATTGTTAAAAATCGAAATTTAATCAAAAACATTTAAATTTAATAAATATTAAAAATCGAAATTTAATCAAAAAATATTTAAAATAGAAAATAACGAAAATTTAAAAATTGGTATTTAATCAAAAAACATTTAAAATCATATCATATATAATATATGCGAAGTAAATTTTTCGCTATAAGGTCTCTCATTCAATCTAAGTAACTAATTTCTCTTTATTCGTTAATAAAATCTTTTTAAATATCCTAATTTAATTAATTTATTTTCGTAGTTTGTATAACAATTTTGCTGCCACTTTTAGTTATTTTGATAATATTAAGATAATTTCAATCGGATTATCTGTTGAGCAAGATTATCTGAAAAAAAAAATATACATGTGATGTGGGAAATCCTAGCTTAAGTTGAGAGCTATATATAAATATATTACTTTTTTAAATGTATCTTAAGCTCAATTGTGGTTTGGTTTCTACATTGGTCGGCTTTTCGTTGTATTGTTTACCATCTTTATTTTTTATAAATCAAATTTTCCATTTTTTCTATTGTTTTTTTCGTTTTTCAGTACCAGTAGTAGTGTTCCTCGATTATATGTTGTTGTTTTGTGTTGTCAGTTATTCTTCCTTACTTAACGTGATTAAAACCATGTCAACATATCATAAATCATCTTCATTGTCTAATGAACAGGTTTTAAGTCTTTTGTTTTTTTTGTTTGTTTCAAGTATGGCTTTCTGAATTCTGTTTATTTTTGGAATAATGTAAGAGAGGCCAAATACACTAGCAGGACGCAGAGGAAAAAATCAAAAATAAAACAGAAAAAAGGAAAAAAAAAGGAAAAAACGAAGTAGAAAAAGAAGAGAAAAAAGATAAATTGAAACACATAGAAGAACATAGAGTTGACGAAAACGTAAAAAAAATGAGGAAAAATGAACAAAAAGTCCTAGACCATGAACGATAAGATCAAGATGGGTAACACAAAATAGTGAAGAAGAAAAATGATAAGGAGATGAAGAACTCAAAGTTGAAAAGAAAACTAAAAGAAAAAGAAAAACAAAAATGGTAGATGAAGAAAATAAAGTATAAGAAGATGAAAATCCGACGATGAAAAAGAAAATAAAAAAGAAAAAAAGTAAAGATGCGAAAAAGACAAACAAAAATTAGAAAGAAAAAAAATGTTTGGATAGGACAAAAATGATCAAGAAGAAGTAAAAAGCAGAAGATAAAAACGGTTAATAAAACCAAAAGAAGAATAGTAGAAGATGTTGAAGAATAAGAATTTAGAGAATACAAAGACAATAAAATAAAACAAAGAAGAAAGGGCAGACAAATAAAACAAAAAAAAATCAACAGAAAAGATGAAGAAAAAACCGAATGAAAAAAAATCAAGAAGTCAAAGAAGATGAATAAAATACATAAGAAGAAATAGTCAAAAACAATGAAAGATAAGAAGGAAAAAACAAAGAATAGAAATC